GTTCACTGTTCCATGATACAGTTCTCCTTTAAGATTCCCAGAATGATTAATTGAAATAGATGGAATTAGCCAAGTGATTCATTTACTTTTTTCACATCAAGATCAGCTGCACTGGACACAAAATGAATCCAAACTTTTACCACAAATTGCTCATAACTGTTACATGTTTTAAAAAGAATAAAAGTTTTAAAAAACTGAGGATTAATTAAAACTGCAACAAAAATCAGGCAGCTACCACCTTTCTTGAAAATACAGTTTCACACTAGGACAGGACTTTGTCACAGATCCCTTCTCAACTTAAGGAAGCTTTGCAATGGGTAAATGGGATAGTTTAAGGAACACACATGCCAACACTGGAAACCAAAGGCCCTGGGTCAGGATATTTTCTAATCAACCTGTTCAGCAATGCAGTTATATACCTCCAGAGCAGATAGGAATTGAACCCAGACAACTTGACAGAGGTAAAGACAACCACTGCACCATAAGAGATGTTAAGGCTATGATTCTGGATTGCTCAGTCAAATGGGATTCAATCTGTGTCTTATCAATCATTTGTTGCTGTTCACAGCCTATTCAACGCAAGCCATACTGCCCATAGTTCCTCCTAGTTTACAGCAGTACGAAGGGCAAATTTAAAAAGGAATGACAGATGTGGGTGACAGTGGAGGGGCTGTTAACACTGAATTTCTGCACAGAATCAGAATTCCTACAAAGTAGAAGCAGGCCATTCAGCCCATCAAGTTCACACCGCCCTTCCATAGAGCAGCCCCCCTATCCTGTCTCTGTATTTCCCAGGGCCAATCCACCTAACTTGCTTATCTTTGGACTGCGGGAGGAAACCCACGCAGGCACGGGGAGAACGTGCAAACTCCACACAGACAGTTGTCCGAGGCTGGAATCAAACCTGGGTCTCTGGTGCTGTGACACAGCAGTGCTAACCACTGTGCCACTCTTGCATTTTCCAGGAATCCATATGACTCACATTAATGGAAACCAAAACATGGAATTTGATTCTGTTCAAAATACTTCCTTTTCCAGGTTAGGAAATGACTTTAAGACTGTCAGCATAGAGTGCCAACAGTACTCTCCTTGACATGGCTCTCCAATGTCATCTTTTACAGGGAATTACTTTTGTGTATCTGGACAGACTGAAGTGCAAACACAGCCAGGGTACGTAACTGCCCAACACTGTGAAACCAGTCTCAGGCAATGAGTGATTCCACATTTCTACCTGAAGGAGTATTCCACTCTGTCTTTCCATGCCAAATGTACACTAACATTCACAAACAATAATACCTGAATATAAGAAATAAAGGAAAGTTGATATTGCTTATTTTCTCATTCCTCCAAACAAAATTACACAATGTTAACTTCGGTGAAATCAACTTTGCAAAACCAACCCTGTCCCCAAACCATTTATAACAATGAGTCAGTGCATAACAGTCACAAATTCTTTGGGGCACAGTTAGGCAACTAAAAATCAAACTCAAAGAAACCTGAAGTATAACTTTCTCACAATGCTTCTACTTAAACAAACCATATGACAAAACAATTTTACAACCCATATAAAGTGATATATCCAAAGTCGCTGGTCTAACTAGCAACTTTGCACAGTTAGACAGGGTAGTCAAGGGGCGGTGTTTGGCACACTTGCCTTCACTCATCAGTGCATTGAGTGTAGAAGTTGGGACGTCAGGTTACAGCTGCACAGGTCATTGTATTCTAAAAGTGGCTCACCAATGTTCAATTCTGGTCTCCCTGCTTGGAAAGAGGTTGTTAAACTTGAAAGGTTTCAGAAATGATTGACAAGGATATTGCGAGGATTGGAAGATTTGAACTACGGGGAGAGGCCGAAGAGGCTTGGGCAATTTTTTTCCTGGAACGGAGGCCGAGGGGTGACCTTATAGAAGTTTATAAAATCATGAGGGGCATGCATAGGGTGAACAGCCAAGGTCTTTTTCCTAGGGAGGAGAGTCCAAAACTACAGGACATAGGTTTAAGGTGAGAGGGGGCAAGATTTAAGAGAGATCTAAGGGGCAATATTTTCATGCGCTGTCAGTGGTAGTGGTGGGCACAGGTACAATTGCAACATTTACAAATGAGTACATAAATAGGAAGGGTGTAGAAGGATGTGGGCCAAATACTGGCAAATGAGACTAGATCAGTTTAGGATACCTGGTCGGCACAAATGAGTCGGATCAAAGGGTCTGTTTCTGTACTGTACAGCTCTGACTCGGTGACCTAATGTCTGCTATTTGCCTCCTTTTCCCTACTTTCCAGCTTCACTAGCAAGTCGCACTGAAATTCTTTTGGTCTGCTAATTATCAAGCCTAGCAAACTACAAAAAGATTGGTTATTTCAGGAGTAGAAAGAAGTTCCTGCCAGTCAGTGATGGAAATAAAAGCAGACATCCAACTTTTTAAAAATCCTATCAAGAACACACAGTTCAAGCCAAATTTTACAGAGCATAAATTTCATTTAGGTGACAAATAAATGCTGCTGTATCAGTATTTGAATTGTTACAAGTCAGACATGACCATTCTTTTGCAGAATACCAAGATTATTCTGGTATTAATAGCTTCCCTGCACACCCAGCTTTTCTATTCCAATAAAAATAATTGTTTCCAACACTTGACAATAGTGGGACTAGAACAGATTAATTTTCTGTCTATCTGATCTTGACTGCAATCTGCATGAAAATGCAATGGATCTCACTTCATCTGAAAAGCTCAAAATGTTAAATGGAGATGGAGAAGAACTAAAACAAATTTCTAGAGCATGGTCCATTGTCCTTCAATTATATCCATTAAAAATTCTTAGGAGTTGTTTACTCTAGGGAAGCAAGATTCCAACAGGCCTCTGTCTGTCATGCTCACAAGTAGCTGTCAAAGAATGATAATCCCTCTGGTTGCTCTTCTTGTGTTTCAATATTTCAATTCATAACATTTCCCTTGCAAGTTTACTTCAGCTCACTTCTGTTGAGGAGTGTAGACTTAAAGAGCTATCAGTGGTGGCGAATCAGACATGGGAGTTAATTCAGAGTTCCAATCCCTGATCCCCATGCAAGGGTATCCTGGTATCATCCACTGTACTTCCCTGCCCTGAGCCCACCAGAGTGCCTGGACAACTTTGGCTACCTGCAATGCCAAATGAAAATCCCAATCGATGCAGCAACAGGGCCTTAACAAGCCCTTTAATTAAATCTGTTTGGATTCAACCAGCTACCTGCTGCTTGCTGGTGGGCTGCCGATCGACTTTAAGCTGCACTCTTGAAATGGCTCAGCAATGTGTTAAGCAAATAGTCAGTAACATGTTCCAGTCCAAGCACTGTCCAAAACACTACCAAGAAGAGGACATGCTGGTAACATTAGATCAGTGCTTTGCAAACTTTATATCTCACATTTAAGCGAGAAAATTGTAAATATGATTCCTCAAATCACAGGGAATGAAGCAGGTGGAAGTAGAGGGAGGGGCAGGGGGACTGGCTCTGAACACAGGTGCGCGTTACAGTAGGTGCCCAGATGTTCTGGGTTCCGGCTGTCTGGAAACCATTGCTGCATCAGAACTTGCAATCTTAAAGCTGAAGTTTTGGGAAGCTCCAATTAGATGAAGGAGAAGGAACAGTTCCATGTAGTGCAGCAGAGACCAGTTGGAGAAAATAACCTGTCCCAGTGAAAATGTTTCTCAACAGTTTGTCATTTTGCCCTTTTGAACGCAGAATTACAATGAAAGTGAATGGGAATCTTCCAGTACACATTTATGAAGAGCAAAGAACCAAACCAACTTGCGTCAACTGGGTAACATTAGGTTTGATGTATTGACAAGAAAAATAGTTCTTGAAACGGTTCATAGATTTGTGATATATTCAACTCAACTGTCTATTTGCAAGCATCAGCACTGTACTTCAGTACTGTAAGCAATGAATTGCTGCAAACTGAAAACACTTCACCAAAATATGCAAACTTCAATCACCTTTCTGTATAAAAAAACTACTGCAGAATCAGTAGCTTTTGCTGCCCATCCCTCAAACACTATGCCTCTTTAAAAATTAAAGATTTTGCTGTCTCAATTTAATCCTTCTAGTCCAAAGAGAATGACTCGTTTGAAATCAGGAATGGCAGAATGTGATCTGAAACCCAGTGCACAGGACTGGGCAGAAGGTGTGCAGAAAAATGCAGCTAGATTTTGACCACAACAAAAAAAACATGGAGGCCCCTACAAATATAACACAATGCTTCAAATGGTGAATTATATCTCCATCATTCCAAACATGCAGTTCTGATTTCACACAACAGGAACAAAGGAACACTGTTTACAGGCACCACCCCTCACAATTACAGATTTTTGGGGACTAGTTACTTTGAAAATCATTGCAACCACTGCCTGCCTCTTTTTCTTCAAAAAAAAGAGAAAACATTTGCAAGTGGCAGCCACCGTTTACTGCAACGTGACAGTCGGGCTATTTAGTCGTCGAGATGGCATGTCAGCAGCACTTGGAGGCAAACCAGAATGTTATTTCTGGATTCCCACAGCCCCGAAAACATGCCACAAAACACACCGAATCCTGGGAGCACCTGTTGCAGGTTTTGTTTCCTACAGAGTGTGTTAAAAGCAGGCTCATCCATCGAATTTGGATAGAGCATCAACCGAGAAATAAAATGTGGGATTTGCTTTAACAAAAAAAAGGGGCAGGTACGGATGAGTTAATAACAAACCAGTGCAAGATTTCCATTCTCTCTTGGGTTTGCAGAATCGCTGCTTCACCCAACACCCAGAGCACTGAAGGTGCTGGATCTCCTTTGTACCACCCTCCCCTTGCCTTGCCCAAACCAGCCCTACGCCCCGGGCCCAGCCCCAGCCCCAGCCTCCACTGTGTGGCCTAGCCCTCAATGGTCAGCCAGCAGCCGACTCCAGGTGGGGCTGGGCTGGGAACTAGGCCCCGCAGAGAGGGAGAGCAGACTGTCCGGGAACCCGCGGCCCAGGGCCTCGGGCTCACTTACGATGGTAACGCTGGCCTTGCGCAGGTCGCGGTTCTCCTCCTGCAGGGCCTTGCACTTGAGCTTGTAGGTCTCCAGCTCGATCTTCAGCACCTTGTTCTCCTGCTGCAGCGAGGCCAGCCGGTTGCTCAGCTCCTCCAGCTTGGAGGCCGAGATCACGATACCGGCCTTGGAGGCGGCCGACGAATTGGCGGGCGGCAGCGCCGATGAACTGCCCGCCGCATCCGTGTCACTCTCGCTGGCGCTGTCCGCCATGTTGGAGCCCACTCGCTGCCTGATCCTGGGCTTGTGGAGGGTGTGCGGGGCGGGGCGGGGCATAAGGGGGCGGAGCCTAAGGGGGCGGAGTAACACGATGGGCGGTGCCACCGCGGAAGGCAGCACGCGGATAGGGGGCGTGGCGAAGTAAAGGGGCGGGGCTATAGCGTAAGATCGGGGCAGGGGCGGAGCATGGGGCGAGGGCGGGGTAATTATGGGCGGAGCGAAGCCCATTGCGGGGCGGGGAGAGGGGCGGTGCCCTGAAAGGGGCGTGGCACGGTGAAGGCGGAGCCTAAGGCCTGCGGCCGCGGAAGGCGGTGGGCGGGGCACAAGCATGGAGGCGGGGCCAATGATGAAACGGGGCGACTTGGCCTCGAAGGAGGGCGGTCCTGTCCTGTGGGGGCATGGCTTGGAGGGAACGTCAGGCAACAAGTGGGACGGGAGGGGGCGAAGGGCTTGTTCTGGAGGGGCGGAACTTGAGTCGCGGGGGCTATGGGATAGAGGGGCGGGGCCTATTCTGTAAGGGGGCGGGAGCGTTTTAGGGGCGGGGCTTGTACTGTAGGGGCGGGGTTTTGTCGCGGGGGGCCTTTTGCTGTAGGGGCGGGGTTTCCGCTGTAGGGCGGGGCTTGTATTGCAGGGGCGGGGCCTGTGAGGGTACATGTCAGCATGTGCAGAAAGGTGGAGTCGAAGGGAGGTAGGTCAGTGAGGAAGGAATGTGGTATAGGTGTGAGGTTGGAAAAGCACAGC